AACACATACACACATACCCCTCACCCCCCCACTCCATCTCCCCCCGTCTCTCACCTGTTTGGTGTGCATGCGAACTGTGACCTGGGCAAACAGGTTGTCCTGTGTGATCATCTCCTCCACGCGAATCTGAACCACCTTGGGCGGCTCCACTGACTCCACGAACCGCCAGCGCATCGTCTTCGACTCCATCCCATGGACCATTTCCTGGCGGAGCGGGACAATGGACAGACATTTGATTATTGTTGAAAGGATTGGGGAAATTAACAGACATTCATTTCATTCTTGAAAGGATGGGACAATGGACAGACATTTAATCATTGTTGAAAGGATTGGGAGATTAACAAACATTTTATCTTAGTTGAAATGATTGGGAAAATTAACAGATATTCAATTATTGTTGAAAGGATTGGGAAATGGACAGACATTTAATTATTGTTGAAAGGATTGGGGAAATTAATAGATATTCAATCATTGTTGAAAAGATGGGGAAATTAACAGACATTCAATCATTGTTGAAAAGATGGGGAAATTAACAGACATTCAGTTATTGTTGAAAGGATTGGAAGATTAACAGATATTTAATTATTGTAGAAAGGATTGGGATATGGATGAAAGGTCAGTTTTTGCAGAAATTATAGAAAAATGAATAGACATTCAATTATTGTTGAAAATGGATGAAAGGTAATCTTTTGAAGAAATTATTGGAAAAGGGACAGAATATCAATTATTGATAGCACACCATGCAAACACACAACACAAGCACACCACACCAGCACACCACGCCAGCACACCACACCAGCACACCACGCCAACACACCACACCAGCACACCACGCCAACACACCACGCCAACACAACACACCAGCACACAACACAAGCACACCACATCAGCACACAACACAAGCACACCACGCCAGCACACCACGCCAACACACCACGCCAACACACCACACAACACACCACGTCAACACAACACACAACACTCACCGGGAACGCTTTCTCAGTCACCAGCTCGTGCAGACGCTCTTGGTTCTTGTACACGCTGCCGGGAAAAAGAACCAAGGTCGAAAAAAAAAATCGAGATAGTTTATTTATATATATATATATATATACATATAATTATATAATACAATAGCACAAATAAAGACATCAAGTCTTGTAAATCGAAGATTTAACCATTTGAGCCCGAAAGCCCCATATATATATACATATATATAGGGCTGGCTTGTGAATGTCTATGACCCCGAAAGCCTGATATATATAGGGCTGGCTTGTGAATGTCTATGACCCCAAAGCCCGATATATATAGGGCTGGTTCGTGAATGTCTATGACCCGAAAGCCCGATATATATAGGGCTGGTTCGTGAACATCTATGACCGGAAAACCCGATATATAGGGCTGACAGGCCTGCCCTCAGACTGATAGCCCTCATGATAAATTCAGAAGCATGAAAGCATTGACTGATTCTGAAGTAAGGTAAGACATTTTAATAGTAAAAACATAGTAACCTAACCCCAGTTTTCACTACTACAGCATGTGTCCACTAACCCAACTCAAATTTCTTCAATTTTTGTTCCGGAACCCTGAGGAATAGGGCCAGGTGTGTTCAGGGGGCCAGGGTTCAAAAAGGTTAAACTTGCATTTTGAAAAATAAGAAGTCATCGGAAACACTCTATACAGCGACAAAGCACAGCTGATTAAAACCTATCAATTTTTTGCCATATCGACAGACCGAAGGGCTAGAACCCAAATGGCCGCTGGATCGGAAAAAGAAAAAAAAAAGAAAAAAAAAAAAAAGAAAAGAAAAATAAGAAAGAAAAAAAAAACATTTGTCATAATCCATCACCACTGACAATAATATACTATTATTTTTTTTAATCAACTGATACGCGCTAAAAATTTACTTGTTTTAACTAGTTTTACAGAGCTACCAGGGTCAATTTTTTTTTTTGGAAGAGTTTCTTCAAAATAGTTTCCACCGGCATGAAGTGAGAGTGTTACAAAAACTCACAAAAATTTTGTGCAGCAGATATTGGAGTTACCTTTTGGACTTCCAAGTTTCTGTTTCCCTCATAAAAATATGAAAGAAAAAAAAAAAAAAGAAAAAAAAGAAAAGAAGCCGCCCTCCCTCCCTCTCCTTTTTTTTTTTATTCCTCTCTGAAAAAATATTTTCAAAAACTGAATATCTCGAGAAAGGCACTCACTCTTGCAACAAGTCGTGGGTCTCGATCACAATATTCTGAGCCTGTTCGGCAAACTCCGACTCCACAAAGTCCTCAAATTTCTTCAGTTTCCGCACGTGTTTCAGAGACTTGGTGCCCTGAACCATTCTCGACACGTTGTCCGAGATACCCTGTCGAGACGAGGCGAGACAGTTTGTTCTTTTTGAGTTTTAGTAAAGGTTTTTCGGCGCTCGCAACTGCATTAGGTCATATGAGCGCCAGAAGATTAGAGGTGTTGTTACAAGAGAGTAACAAACAAGAAAAAAGATGAAGGGGAGATAAGGATGATAGATGTTTGATAGGAAAGAAGAAGCAAACCACACAAGAGCACCCGCCATCCCCCCACCGAGACAGTTGGTTCGTGTGAGTCACAGTCAGGACGCAAGTACGTACAACGACGGGACAAGGTGAGAATGCTGAGATCAGATAAAATAAAGAGGAAAAAAAATATTGGCCCAACCCTAGGCAGAGAGAGAGACCCAGACTTTATGGGGGTGGGG